TGTGTGTGTGTGTGTGTGTGTGTGTGTGTGTGTGTGTGTGTGTGCAGCACGTATCCACATTCATTTAGTTTGAATGCAACGCCAGAACCCTTTTGTTGTTTTCCAGAGGGATTCGCTTCCTGCAGATCCTGCGTATGCTTCATGTTGACCGGCAGGGAGGAACCTGGCGTCTCCTGGGCTCTGTTGTCTTCATCCATCGGCAGGTACACAAACACAGCTTCAAACACCGGGCTTCTGATTATAACAGGTAAAGTGGGGGGGGGGTGGCTCTCTGCCTGGGGATTTAAAAGCCTCTCCTCATCATGTAGGCCATTATTTTTCATTACCGTGCGGCGCGGAACAAAGTATTCATGTGGAAATGTAAAAGAATATTCAGGAGGTGAGCTGCTGCGTAAGAGGTTTTGGTTTTTAGGGTCGCAGACTTCGCTGTGAGGGCTGTGTCGTACTCCAGGGTTTCACCTCTGAGACGGAGCAGTCGTGATGATCCCCACCGGCCTCGGTACCTGTCTTCACTGTCTGAGTAGAAAAAGAAAAAAAGAGAGGGTGATGAAGGTGAGCGTCAGGGACGTTGCTCTGTGCCTCCTCGTGTCGGCCCTGGCTGATGACCATGCTGGTCACCGGTCATTGACCTCAGCTGTGAAGAAAGAGAGCGTCAGTGCAGGTTGCCCTTCAGCGTTTCACTCCGCATGAAATTATGCAGCATTTGTTATTGCACCTTGACGAGCAGCCGTCAAACACTCGTGGTGAGAAAGCTGTGCAGAGAAGTATGACAGGCAGGGGTGTTGCAACAGGGTGGGCAAGTGCTCGGGGCCCCAGAGCAGAGAGGGGGCCCCCCCACACACAAGAACTGTTTGTTCACAGCAGCTACATTTGTTTGAGAACCTTAATAATCGGCTTTGAACAGGCGACTGAACGAAGCTGGAGCAAGAACTTCCTGCAACAACTTGTTAATCTGTTGAATCAGACGTCTGGTTGAAGACTTCAACGTCTAAATGTGGGTGAAAGATTTAGCCTGAGGTGACTTTTGAAGTTTTCACCGAAACTTTCCCACTTTACTTTTATCTATGTAAATGCACAGGGTGGCTTTCATCCCCGAAACATTCACGTCTATGCACTCGGGATTTGATCTTAAAACCATTTCATTTATCTTTCTTCTAGTTTTCACAAGGATCCAAGATACTTCAGGTGAAAATAATGTGAATCACTGTGAAGCTTGGACTCTTTTATGATGCAGTAGTTCCACTTTGTTTATAATTTTGATATTAAAAGAATCATTTGAAGGAGTTTAACAAACGATATATATTCTCAGGTCAGATTCCTTCATTTGAATTACCCCAAAATCCCAAATTTCTTTTCTACAATTTCCTCAATCATAACAATAAAAATCATCCAGACTCATGAACCTGCGGTCTGACAACCTGCAGTGTAGTTTCTGGAAGATGGAATTTAAATTCACATAATGTTTCCTCCATTATCCAGCACCTGTGTTTACTGCGCGAGTGGCGGAGCAGTGCTGCAGACTATTTGAGGCTTTAAGTGTCTAATTATACTCCTCACTGGCTGGTTCGGGACGGGCCCTAATGTGGCACACCTGTCACATAAATTCACAAATTCGTGTTGTTCTCTCGTTCTCTTTTTGCACGGGCAGTGGACTATGTGCTCGATAAAGGCCCCGTACCGTCCCAACGGCCCTGAGGGGGAAACGCGGCGTGTGCTCTCAGGTCGATCGGTGCCGGCGAGGTCAAGTTTCCCGTCAACCAGCTCCACACTGATGCATTGCACCTGAACATTGTCTGTCTTATACACACACACACACAGAATTTCAAGCCCCTTAGTGTTAACAGCTGCAGTTTTTAAAGTCTACGGCGTTTCATTCAGTCTAATCAGAATCCAGTCTTCATGTTTTATCAGCGTAAATACGCTCTGAGAAGCATTCTGCTGCTCGTAAAACACAATTTGCACAGTTGCTCCTCGCCGGCAGATGGGAGGCACACGTCCCCTGAATGTGTTTGCCGGGTCGCAGCAGCCGCAGCGCTTCTATCAAACCTTCAGTGGCGACTTAAGGACGATGCACCTGAATGCGTTCGGAGCTGTTATTTCCAAGAATCATGTGCTTGTAAGTTGCAAGCGGTGATATTTGATGAAAGTGTTACAGGCTCTCAGCGATTTCCCCGCGGAGTTTCTCTCCCATCATTATTCCAGAGCGCGGTCTTTCATTTTGAGAGCATTATTTCTTCATTTCACGTTGAGATTTTGAAAACGTCTCAAAACCCTGCCCTCCCTCTCTCTCTCTCTCTCTCCCTCCCTCTCTCTCTTTCTTTCTCTCACAATGTCACTGCATGAATGCAGATTTGCTCTGCTCCTGCTCAAAACTGTTTGTCTGCACAACTATAAACTATTTATTTGTGACCTGTTTTTAAAGATTCATGCCTTTCAGTAGGATCAAATAGGCTGGAGGTCAGAGAGCGACAGACAGGGGGGAGGGAGGAAGTCGGAAAGTATTGAAAAACCGACTAATGCATTGTTCATGTGGGTCTTAGAATAACAGAGATATGGAATAATGCCAGCCTTGTTTAAGCACAACAACTTTCTACCCAGAGAGAAGCCCCTGGGCTCCGAGTGAGTGTGAATCCACCGTTAGCTGAATGCCACGGGGCGGCAGAGCCGGCAGAGCACTCAGAAAAAGATTTGAATCATCTTATTCACAGCACATGTACATGAATATTCACATCCACATGTCATGTTATCAGCAAATACAGCCACACCAGACCAGACACAGCCACGTGGATATTTTATCATTTTAATTTATGAGTTTAATTTATTCATCTTATCGAGTTTGAAATATTAGCATTTGTACCTTGTGTGTGTTTCAGGAGCTGATCACGACCTTATACATCGGCTTCCTGAGCCTGATCTTCTCCTCGTACTTTGTTTACCTGGCAGAGAAAGACGCCGTCGATAGCAGCGGCTCCGTCGAGTTTGGAAACTACGCTGATGCTCTGTGGTGGGGAGTGGTAAGTGTGTGTGTGTGTGTGTTTAAAACTGTGATGATAAAGATTGTATTTCATGGAGCAGCAGTGACATAGACTTGACCAATAGATGTTTCATTTTTTTACGGCATTAAATAAGTAATTCAATCAAACTTAATTGAATATTGAACACAACATACATCAGGGGGATGAGAACAACGTTCACGTCCCATCAGTCCTCGATCGTGTGAGAGTTAAACAGCTGTTCTGTTTTTCATACATTTACGTGGGTGTGTCCTGGTGCAACTTCAAAGGTTGTGTCGCAAAGAATTGTGGGCATGCATTTTCCATTTCCCCGTCCTAAAGGAGGGTTTGATGTTTCCTATGCTGAAGGGGATAAGTTAGGAAGCATTGAAGCTCCTCTCGGTTCCTAAGCAAAGTGCCTCTGTGTGTTTTTCTCCAGTGTTGAACCAGGGACTGGATGTTTAACACCTCACTTGAGATGAGGAGATTAATTGCCCTCATGTGTTTGTCTGGTAAATATGAAGCTCGGAGGACGAGAGACCAGACAGTTTAAACTGTTTGTTTAAAAAGCATTTCACCCCAATTTCCCTTTTTTTATGCTAAGCTAACAACCGGCTGGTTGCAGAAGTACATGAGAGTTTTCCAATCATCTCATGTAACTCTCAAACAACTCAACGTAATACAACAATTATTTGAATTACAATTAATACTTATTTCAATTATTTACCAAGTTCTTATGAATATGTGAAATTCCTTTCTTTATTATTTTCTTTTATTATTATATATTGTCATATTCTATATATCATTATTACTCAAAATAATTAACAATTAATTTAATTTATTCTGATATCACAATTAGTAAAAGCATCTGAAGAAGAACAGTATTTAAAGGCCAGTGTCTGAATCTCAGCATAAATTTGCTGATTTCAAAGGAACAAAAACTTATCAGGATCTAGTTCTGATGTAAAAAGAGATAAAGTTAAAAACACATGCAGGATACACAGGACGATGCCTGCCCAAATTTCTCATGTGGTAAACCGTGTTCTAAAACCATCCACGTAGTTCTGACCCGTGAACGATAGACTGAATCGGGAGGTTTAAGAGCTGAGGCAGGAGATAATATAAAAAGAACATCTCAGTCCATAATAACGGATTTAGAGGTCGATCTCTTTGTTGTTCCGAGGAGCCTATAAAAAAGCCTTTTTGATGTTCGGGACGTAGTCTGTTCTTTGTTTGTGTGGTTTCTGAAGACAAGCTTGTCATGGAGCCAGAAACCAAGGTTGCCAAATATTGTTTTAGTAACATTCCCCTCTTGCCAAAACGAGGATTTTTCAGAAAACATTGTTGTAAACAGTTTTTTGGCAAGTGAGAGGTCAGATACAGACTGTGTTTTATCTGCACTTGTGTTGTTGTTGTAGGAGTTGTGTCAGAGACCCTTGGGCGCATCAAGTGGGCCGCTAATACAATCAGCAACGCAAGTGTAGTGCAGAGAATACGGGATGAAAATTTATTTTCAGCCGATAACTCACCACCTCCTCTGCTTCTTGGAAACTCTGATATTAAAAATGTTCACACACACACACACACACCAGCTCAGAGCACAGCAATAACAACTTCCCTCTTATCAATAAAGGTTTACATTTGAATATTCACACGTTGCACAGTGGCTATACCACGAGGTGCTGTCAGGTTTCACTCTGACGCAGTGACGGTCTGTATTTCACGCTCTCGCTGCACGATGATCGACATGAGAGTCAGAGTTGTATTTGGAGGGTCGGGGAAAATATCGGCCTCGTGCGCGACAGTAGAACTCAAAGCAGATTTGTCACAAGCTTCCTTCAGACTTTTAACTCAAGTCAACTCGGTCGATTTAATCATTTACATGTCAACGAACACCGACGCAGCATTTGAAAGATTTCCTAACGAAGCCATCTGTGTCTTCGCTCACTTTCTATCAGCCGTGCTCACGACTCCACTCGGAGAATTGCAGTGTCTGTCGTCAGTCCCTCTTTTTGTCTCGATGGAAATTCGATGGATTGCCATGAATATGTGTACATTCATTCCTGATGCTCCGTGGAGGAAGTCCACTTTCTTTGCTGTTGCATCACGATGTTCACATTTTCGGTTTCGGACTGAGACGTCTCACTAGTCAATGGATTTTCATGAAATTTGACAAGTGTAAAACAATGTCTTTTAATCCAGGGTCATCTATTTGAATGTGTTCTGTTCTACTCTTCTTTATTATGAGCGAATACCTGCGGAACAACTGATCCTCCGGCCTCAGCTGTACTTAAAGTGGTGATTAGATCATCTTGTTGCACTGTCACTGTGAGCACATCAGCATTCTGAGGTTATTTAGCATTTAGCTAAAGTACCCACTGTGCCCTTATGGAGCTGCTATGGCAGAGCTGCAAAAACTAACTTATGCATGACTCTAAGTAAGTTTCAGGACTATACTTCTGCTACTGATCAATAAATAATTAACAATGTTATGGATATTTAGCTGTGGCGGTAGATTTTATTCCTCTTCTCCTCCAGCATTTTATCAATGAAACTTCCAAATTAAAACTTCTTGTAGTAGTTTACGTTTTGTGTTTCCAAGGTGACAGTGACGACCATCGGCTATGGAGACAAAGTGCCACAGACGTGGATTGGAAAGACCATTGCATCCTGTTTCTCAGTCTTTGCCATTTCCTTCTTCGCCCTGCCTGCAGTAAGTCGAAAGAGAGTTTGCGTAAGATTGCGTAGTGTTTCATGTTGTGTTCGATTCCTCAAACCTGCTCTAATATATCCTGCGTATAGTGAGTGACGTCCACGTGGAACATCGAGATATGCAAGATTAGAAATAACAGTTTCATCAAGAGCCATTAATTATTCTCTGGGGAAGTTGGTGAAAATATAAAAAAGGAAAAATCTCTCAATGTTGAGAAGAAATAGAAAATAAGAAAATCATTCTTTCTTGACCCACGTCTCTAGTTTTTGGATAATCCTAAAATCCATATCATTCATAGCGTAGAGTTTAAAATTTTCAATACACAGTGATGTGAAATTGAGAAGAAGAATCCTTGGACCAACAAAACAATATGTTAATTAAAGATTTATGCGATTAACATTTTAATCTATCGACTTCTGTGACTAAGGGAAAATATGTGTAAGCATTAGCACATTATTCCTTCATTTTTGAGCCTCTCTGTCTGTATCATGCTGCGGCCTGTGAATATGTGGCTGAAACTAATGAGCTGCAGTGACTGTGCTGCTGTTCACAGGGAATCCTGGGCTCAGGCTTCGCCCTGAAGGTGCAGCAGAAGCAAAGACAGAAACACTTCAACAGGCAGATCCCTGCAGCCGCCTGCCTCATTCAGGTATCTGACCAAAACAATTACTGAAACAGAAGCTTAATGCTCAACTGTCTCAGAGCGCCGGGCGTGTTATTGACAGCGTCCTTTCGTGTAAGCCTCATACCTTCTCTCCAGCGCGGCAGACGTGCTGTGAAATTTGTTTTATTCAACCGAGTCATTGCCCATTTTCATGCCCCTCCAGACATCATGGAGGTGTTTTGCGGTGGAGAACTTTGAGTCAGCCACGTTCAAGATGTTTTTGAGGAAGCGGTCCAACGTCCCTGCTTCCTCCTTGTCCACGCCCAAGTCCAAGAAATCGGTCAGTAATCTGTCAACAAGGACCAACGACTGCATCACAGCTGCTTTTTTTGTTATTTTCATTTTTGCCTGTGTCGCATTAACCCCAGCACTCGGGAGCAGTTTGTATTGAGAGCTACAGTTGGCCGTCTGTAATAGTTTGCTTCGCTTGTCTTAATAGAAGGAGACAGTGTGAGACAGAGTCGAGGGACGAGGTTGTACATGAAACTACTTAATACTATTAAAACTTTGTCACAGTTTATTGTTGTGATGATGTGGAGGATTAAGAACCAGTCAAACATCATCAGCCTTACTGAAGCTGTCAGTGTGAAATCTGTTTTATTAAATATAAGAAATTAAAGCGGAACAGAAAAAAAGAAATGCCAGATAGACAACAGACGGCAGCAGCTCATTATTGATTTATATTTTCAATATTACAGCTTCTTGGTGATGACACCAGGCCCTCACTACTGCTCACCTTTTAAAACCATGTCAAACATTATAAATGACTTCCATTTGAGGTGAAGGTTTACATAGTCACACATCTATATTCTGATAGATATATAAATATGCCGCGTTTAAATGTCAACCTGAATATGGTTTGTTCCTGTGCAGCGCACGAGCTGTTTGTTGAGCTGAGGTTGTTTGCGTTTCTCGGGCAGGTGAAGATAAGGAAGAAGTTGAAGAGCGCTGACAAGGACAACGGTCTGACTTCTCCCACGATTCCCAGCATCACCTTCGACTCTGTGTTTGACAGCGGGAGGGAGCTGAGCTCAGATGTTTACAGCACTGTGGGCACAGGTACAGGAAAGAGTCAACGGGATGTGCTCTGGTGCAGTAGGCTCCGATTCACTTCTCATGTGTGGTATGTTTTAAAGAAGCACATCGAACGTGCACACAGGCATGGAAGAGCAATAATGAACAGTGCACCTGCTGCAGACCACACAGTCAGCGATGACAGGGAAAAGAAGATGTTTAGGATGAACTCGCGTTGTAGCCACAGGAGGGGGGGGCAGCACAGAGTCCAAACATTAAAGATGGATGAGCACACTGCAGCAATAAAACGTGAGGTTGCATTCGTGAGCGTGAACTCCAGCAGCGCACTGCTGAATTCACAGAACTCCACACGGTATCGCTGGCTGAATAACGGAGAGCCGAGAGTGACGCAAGGAGGCAATTTAAATCATAGAGCGTATCCTCCCATCTTTCATTATGTCAGGGAGCCACTGCGAGCGTGAAACATCCAGAGACAATCGGCAGCTAAAGTAACTTTATTCAGCGCTGAGTAAGCTGAACTTCATCGAGCTGCAGTGTGGCTCTTAAAGGAGACACATCCTGCTCCTGTTCAGCTTCATCATCTTAGTTCTGCTGCTTGAAAATGTTGACTGTGCTGAAAACACATCACCTCCCTCACACAGCTCCTCTCGGTTCAAGAGCTCGGTAAGGTCCCGCCCGCCCGCCTCCCGATAAAGCCCGGTGTGCTCTGATTGGTCAGCTGACCCGCTCTGTCGTGATTGGTCAGACACTTCCCACATGCGTAGGAAATGTTGGCGTCCGCTCTCGCCGCAAAAGGTTTTGTCAGGGGGCGTGTCGGACCAGCTGCTGGTAGGACAGTCACTTAATCGAAACATCAAGTTCAGACAAATTCAACATGACTCGCACTTTGTGTCAAGCTGCTAGTGAGCGCCCTCTGCTGGTGTCATTCTTAGTTCCAAACAGGTCGTTACAGTTGGAATAGGAAAATGTTCCCCCAACGTTTCAATGGAAGTTTGGAAGTTGGAATGAAAAGTGACAGCTCCAGCTGCCAGGCCTGCATTATGCAAATGGGGAGGAAGACATCATAATGATGCAGACGACTGACGAGGTGTTTCAGCAGCTTCAGGAGCTTTTCGGGGGGGCGGGGGGGGGGGGGGGGGGGGGGGGGGGAGCAGACTTTGGGCTCTTTAACTTTGTAGAACTTTTACACAACAAACCTACACAACACACCAGAGGAATGAAACACTGAATAAGCGTAATTAGTCTCCTCTGAGGATTACGAGTGTTGTCCTGACTGTCTTACAGTCCATCGCTGAATTATACCAACAACTATTGGATGAATTGCCAAGCGAATTTTGAAGAGACGTTCCTGTTCCCCAGAGGAAGAACTCTAGACTCCTGCATATTCCCGGAGGCTTTTCATGTGTTGACAATGTTTTCGAACCCTCTCAGATTTTGGGAGAATGCTCTAAATGGGGTTATTACTCCTCGGTCTCTTATTCTAGCTACAGTGTAGCATCATCATGCTTTTATTTTCTGCCATGAGTCACTCATTTGTTCCGAGAGCAGACGCGAGGATGTTCAGAGATATTAAATAAAGGTAATTAACCTAATACAAGGATGGATGGAGGGACAGATGCATTACTGAATTAGTGAGTGTTTGCTATTTCATTTTCCATGATTTTCTTTGGATTGCGTCTCTAATGTTTACTTCTCTACTTCTTTATGAATCTGTCTTTGTACAAAGATTTAAATAAATAACAGGAGCCATCATCGTTATTATCATCAGGGCTGGAGGGCATTAATGGATATTCTGTTCAAAGGAGACGAGAGTCTGTTTACTTGGAAAATGAGACAAATACACTTTTATCACGAACAACATATACAAACATAACATCTAATTTGATCCTGCTCTTTGTTGTGCTCAGTTTTATAATGTTTATCTTTTACACCAGCTGGGAACCCGAGAAGCTGCGTGACGGCACTGCGGCGTGTTTGCTCTGCACTCCCTTTTTTATTTCGTTTCATTTCGCCCTGTTGTGTTTCATGTCTGTTCCAACGTGTTCAGCGAAAATCGGCGTCTTCTCATTTGAGGCAAAACACATTGTACATGTCGACCTGCACATCTTAACATCCGCCGTGTGCTGCTTTCAATTATGACTCATTTAAAGTTAATTGCCACGTTGCCATCTGGCGTGTGATCGCATTGACGGGACGCACGTTGACGGCGGCTGCAGTAATCAGCTGCGGAGCCAACGCTGATCGGATTTTCAGAAAACGTGACCAAAGTTATCCAAGTGTTAATTTAAAGTTGCCAGCTTCACATTATCGAGTGTTTGTTGAGCGGTATTTAGACGACGCAGGAAATATGGCTGGATGCAGATACGGGAATCGGTCAGTCAGCTTTTCGTATGCGTCTGTGGCTTAAGATTTAGAGCGGGTTGTACACTCACCAGCGGGTGGTGGTTCGATCCCCAGCTCTTCCCAGTTTTCATGGGCAAGACACTTTGACTTATGATAAGAAAAGCACCAGATAAATACATTTCCATCTTCTTAGCAGATATTCAGGTTTTATCAGAAGAATACTTCCATCACTGGTTTTCATTTGCGTGAACAAGTAAACTGTAAAATCTCTGTTGCAGATCCTGTGATTTTTACAAACTCTTTTCCTGTTCCTGTCTCTATTTCCTGTCTTGTCTTTTTCTCTCCGTCTCGATGGTCGAGCAGGATCTCACGCTCTGGCAGGTTGTGGTGAGCTGCTGTTAGTGTCCATGTCCTGCACATGTCCTCATAGTAAACTCACTGTCCTCTCTTACTCTCTAACACTCACTCTGTAACTATAACAGCATGTTTCTATCTGCACGAGAATCTTCTGAGGGGTTGTTTTTTTATTATAACTAATGAAAATTAAATTGCATCTAAGCACCATAGTATTTAATCAACATCACTATTTATTTTTGTCATTTGTGCTCTGTTGTCAACATGGACGACCTCCTCATGTTTGTTTCTCTTCAGATCATCAGCAGTCCTGGACGTCTTTATCCTCCCTTCAGTTCAGCTCACCTCCTCCAGGTAATGTGTTGTCATGAGTGGTTTTCTGTGATTGGATGAGGAGTATTCATATTTAAAGGAGACATAAGATTATTTTTCAGTTATTCTTTCCTCTTGTGTGCTATGTAGGGTTTTTATTGTGAATGTAAAAGTTCTGCAACATTAAAAAGTCTGTGGTGAAGGCGGCTCCTCTCCCGACGCAGAAAACTCGTCAGTCGCCCGACAGATACTTTCGCATCATCGTGATGTCGTTCTAACAGTCACTCAAAAGTTTGTATTAGAAGTGTAATAATCAGATAGAATTTAATATAAATATCAACTAATTATATACAGTCAAGAAGTGCTTCAGATTGTCTGTATCTGAAGTAATTTGCCCTATGATCCAGCAGAGGGCGCTCACTATCAAGTCTGACCTTTTCCATGCCCTCTTGACCTATGGGTAAAGTAAACCAGTAATGTGACGTTGTTTTGATCTAAAAATGGAGGAGGATAACAAGCACGGTGTCCTCTGGACATTAAAGCCTGTAAAGATTTTTAAACTAATAACCCAAATCAAAATTATAAAAAAGGGCCGGGGCAGAATATCAGAATCCTAAAGGTAAAAAACTGCTGTTGTTTGAAGCCGTTTCTAAATCACAAATCCTTCATAGATCCCTATTTGTGCTGGAGTATCACACAATCCCCTCCGAGGGGGTGAAATCAGTTCTCTGTACTTGTTATTGGCAAACATCAGTCGGCCTGTCAGGACATGTCATGACACAGGACATCCGACATCTGTCCCCGTTGACAGAACCAATCGAATCTGTTCCTTTCAAGCTCCCTTTAAAGAAAACCAGTTCTATATCCTGTTAATCTCGTCTCCAGCTGCCACAGTTACAAAACACGATGTTTTCAGACGCCAGTAATTAACAGGTCTTCACAACAAGTGGAGATATTGACAACGTGTTGACTTTCTCAAAAAGGAAGATTTGGTATTTTCACAAAGGAAGGTTTTTAATAACCAACAGCTTTTCAAGTAGAAAAGCTCCATTAAGCCTTTTCTCTTCTTGTGACAAAAACATTAAATGCAGGCAACCAACAAGTACGAGGACATTTGATAAATGGGAATTATAAATCCTTTATTTCACCCATGCCTCTCTCTTGTAAATCTTCGTCGTTAGTTAATAACTGCAGAAGTAAACTCAGATGCTTTGTTCCCGTCAGGACATAAAAGATCAGTCATAATCCAAATCCGATCTTTGTAAAGACGGGGTCATAATATTCCCACACCGAGGAGGCCTTCCTTAAAATCATTAGAGAATTTGAGAAGCTGCTTATTTAACATTTACTTGAGTTTACTGAGGCGATGACTTTCATCTGAGTAAACTACTGCAACACATAAACCCGCTTTATTCTCTGTTCCTATTGGGCAGATTACACACTGTTGCTGCAGCAGGGGAGCAAAAGAGATGAATTAAATGAACGTGCAAATCATCAGGTTCCTCAAAAGATACATCAGTGAACGTTCTGTGTGCATAGATAAAAGTCATGTGTCGTGTGTGTGCGTGTGCGTGTGTGTGTGTGAACGTGCAGTGAAAAGAAGCCCGGGCCTCTTGGATGTTCAGTCCCCCGGCCCCCTCCAGAGAAACTGCAGCTTCGCAGACGACCTGGAGCTGGAGTCGGAGCGATACAGCGAACTGGCTCCCGTCACCTCGGTGTCACAGTGAGTTCACATTGATGCTGAGTTTATCTGCGAACATGCTTTAACGAGCACGTTACAGAATGTTTGCATGAATTTTTTTTATTTTTTTATACTGCTATTTGTAATTAACCTCGTTATGTGCCAAACCCCAGAGCGCTCCTGTGTAATGATTATCTATTAGGGGAGATGCACTGGTGCTTTCTGAGGCTCATGCACGGCGAGCGATATGAGGAAATGAGCGTTAAGTAACTGCAGCGTAATGTAAGGGCACAGTAGTGAAACAAATGGAGCGACAGTTTCGACCCATGGGACCATCTTTCTAAACGGCGGGGTAATGATGCAGAGTGTGAAATGCATGCGGCAGCGTTGCTGGCAAAGATCACTCTGTGCTCTGCTGACGACCAAAATATGGAACCAGCTGTTCTCAGCCAGCAACACCACAACCAGTGTCATGCTAAATTGAGCCATTATCAGCCGCTACCGCTGGTTTTCGTTCATAATGAGACAACAAATGTGCTACCAACTGCGTTTGTCAAATTTCTGTGAATTTCAAATTACCCATATTATCTACAGCAGCGGAGAAATTCATCCTGCTCTATAAATTTGGAAAACAAGACCTGTAAGAGATGAACCTTCTCAGAAATGTGTTTATTTTGTACACAGCATGCGTAAAACATATATGAGGCACAAATATATGTACAGCGCATGTACTGCGTTTGTACGGGTCAACACTTTCAGGTTTGAATCTCACCTGTGAAGACGAGGCTTCCCTACATCTAAAGGTTCAGTCTGTAGAATATAGAGACATCTAGTGGTGAAGTGTCATATTGCAGCTGAATAGGGAATGTAAAACGACGCTCTCGTCCATAAACAATCACATTAACGAATTTCGAAGTGAAGATTTTCTCATCTCCAACATGTGAACACATCCGCACCCGTGAATCCCTTTTTTGCACAAGCGATTTTTAATCCCAGTTCAATCAAGAGCGGCTTCAGTTGGAGAATTGAGTTTTATTGACGTGCAGAACAAAAAGAAAAAAAGGGGCGTGATGTAAATGAAAGTCCGTTCGGTGCTCGGACCGCTCGTGATGACATCGTGGTTGGAATGGGGGTGAGGTTCCAGACTCTGGGGGTTGTTGATGGATGAAGATATTTTGTGAAACGGAGTGTGAGGACTTTAAAGACAGAGGGAGACAAACATCCACAGACTGTAGTGTAAACAAGACCTCGAGCTTCATCCTGGTTTCAACTACAGGAGTTTGCTTGAAGAAGAATTTAAGGGTTCGAGAATCTTACGTGAATACGTTGGGACAAAAGTAATACTTCCAATAAAACAGTTTTCTAAAACGTCTCCGGAAATAAATAGTTTTTCTATTACCAACGTGAAACCACAAAGTTTGATTCATTTCACACACAGAACAATTTCACATTTTCAGTCTTTATGCTAAAATAGTTTATTCTGTAGCTTGTTCTTCATATTAGTCGAGGTATCTGGAGGAAAGTGAGGAATTCTTCCCGTGTTTAAAAATAAGAAACTCTCCCGGTTCAGACTTCCAGTCAAACTGAGCCTCTGTTGCCCCACTGTTCCCTACAGGGTCTCCTCTGTCTCTGCTCTTATCGGCAGCACATGAGCACATGCATCACATTTTGGCTGCAAAATGGATTTCACATAATGGATCACTGAGCACATCATTGACATTTCATGATGGATGCCCTTAAAGGTGCATTTGAGAAACAGCCAGTTGCATTGCTTGTGAAAAGTCCATTATGAGACACCTCTCCACTCTTTCCCGTTAACTAGATCTGATAGAGAGCTCACTGCTCCGCCGCCACACACACACTCATCCTCTGCTCTACGAGGGTAATGACCCCAATAAGTAATAGATCCTTAATAACCCCCCCCCCACACACACACACAATATAACACAGGCTAAATGTACGACAGTCACTCCGAGCCTTTTATTAATGATTTTCAGAGAAACACTCAGACCCCAAAAATCGATCAAGTCGCCTTGATCACATTCAGAGGAAGACGAGTCAGGAGGGAGCGGCGTTTTGACGGCGACGGAATAGTAATCGTGATGAAAACTGTGCTGCGCTGAATATTCACCCTGAATTTATATTCTTTGGTGATGAAGCAATGTTCAACAAAGGGAAAATAAAGCCGGGGTCTGAAGTCTGAAGTTTTTTTTCTCTGACACCTCTGTTTTATAGAAAGGAAAAAAAAAAAAATCAATTTAAACAATATCTTCCACCGCGCTCTCGGTGTCATTGCATTTCCTCGGGAGAAATTTCAAAGTAACACGAACTCATCCCTGTGAAATTCTTTTACCCAGACTGACGGAGTCGCACAGAAAAGCCATCCGAGTGATCCAGAGGATGCGCTACTTTGTGGCCAAGAGGAATTTTCAGGTAAATGCGACACTTTTATTGAAAATAACTTTTTTTCTTTGAATGATTTGCAAAAGGTTTACTTTTAAAATGTGTTTATGCTGCACATAAAAACAGAAGTAAACTAACCCCCTGTGTACTTTGAGATAACTGAAGACAATCGTGTTCCATTCAGTCTTTCAACGTTCACATTTTATCAATGTATTGATCTGAAATTGATTTACAGGTACACTGCAAACACAAAACCCCAGAGATCTGGGATCAACAGTGGTTGTATTTCACCTGTGTATCTCGCCTCGTCACACAGTTTGGGTTCGTACACTTGGACGTCTGCGCAGTGATCCGTTTGCGCTCTAGCGAAACACTTGTGGACATTGTTTCGTCACTAGGACCAAAGCGGAAACTATGGATTTGTCTTTGCAGGGACAGAGGTTGGGGTTTATGGTAACAGCGTCAACGGCGTCGGTGTTAACAGCAGCGTTTTGTAAACGAGCAGTAGAAAGGTTTTCTGCAGGTTGTCTGGGGCTTATGGGCTTTATTCAATTTCCACTTTAATCGATGAACTAAAGTAAAGGATAGTTAATCTCATCGGGGTTAAACCGTGTTGCCTTTCTGAGTTCTCTCAGTGTCTGCTTTGGTCTTCTCCGGCTTCCTCCCACAGTCCAGACACATGCAGCTTAGGTTAATTGGAGACTTTACACCTGCCCCGGGACGGAGTGACCACCTGTCCAGCGTGTACCCTGCCTCTCCCCCATTATCAGCTGTGTTTTCTCCAGCTCCCGCTCGACCCAGATAAATGATATAGAAGATTTCATTTAATTTTTAGTTTGACTCATTCAGTATTATTCTTATGCTAATGTCTAATATTGTGTGATCTTCAGACTATTAATTGTCTCGTATAGTTTGTCCTCAGTTTCTCATTTTTAACCCGTAAAGTGCCAAGTTAGTGTTTTGAAAGGTTATTATTATTATTTCTTGTCATTCTTCTTCTTATCATTATCATTAAAAGCTCAGCAGCGGAGTGAGGAGTGACCAACCAATTTCCTTTGGATTATCCTTTAAAAACTGCCATGACGTTATTTCCCAAGATGAAAAATAAAAACCTAGAGTTATATCGGCAAATGTTCTATGCCAAAGAAGAAGTCTGAAGTCTGAAAACTATTTAAATTCAACATTTTGTCTTGCACTGTAGCAAGCTCGTAAGCCGTACGATGTGCGAGATGTGATCGAGCAGTACTCCCAGGGTCACCTCAACCTCATGGTGCGGATCAAGGAGCTGCAGAGGAGGTAACGGATGAATGGATCCCCTGAGTGATGAATGTACAAACGCCGTGTGTGCAGGGAGATTCAGAGCGAGTGTGTCGACGTGTTACCGTTTATTCTTTCTGACCGGAGCCTCCCATTGTTCCTCTCAGACTCGACCAGTCTTTGGGGAAGATAACTTTGTTCCAGACGGGCTCAGGTAATGAATCACTCCATTGCTCCCTGAAAATACACGACAGTGGTTGAGCAACACACCACAGCCCTAATCGTCCACAGCCCTGTCTTATTATTAACTTGACTGTTGTCTCTCTCTCTGAAGACAGAGCCAGAGACAAAGGCACCAACTCCATCGGCTCCAGACTCAACAGGATGGAGGACAAGGTGCGAAACTAGAACGATATTCTCTCGTACAGTTTTCAGATCGTTGTTGTTGTTGTTGTTTGTGAGGGAATGTACACGACCTTGTTTGTCTCGTGTTTATAATTTTAACTTTTATGAGAACAGGCTTCCTCTCGGGAGGATAGAGACATTACAGGGGAAGTTTCACTCATCAAAACAAACAGAACGAGAAGCGTTTTGGATAACGCAACGAAAGACAGAATATTTTTTGTTGCGTTACGAGTACAGTTCTTTTCAGATGAACATGAATCCTGTTGTTGTTGACTGAAATATAAAAGTTTTACAGCTTGTGCTGATTCTGCAGCGCAAAAATAGAAACCTTGAGATTTTTTTTCTTTTGTTCCATTTTTACTCGAAAACAAGGAAGAGGGGAAAAAAAACAAAAAAACAATAGTCCTAAATTAAAACTTCCCCCAAGTGGGTCTTCAGTTCCCATGTACAAAACTATCAAACACAATTAAATCCTTTTTCTTGGAAAATTAGTTTTGCTAATAACAAAAGTGATTTTCCCATTTTGCTTATGAAAATATAAAACTAAAACTGTCATTTAGTAGTTCTGTTACTGACTTTAATGTAAAATAATTAGACTCTGGTTAAGGATGTATTCTGGGAAATTAAACAATATGATAGATATAACTGCGCTGTTCTGATTTTTAAACTCTCAAATTAACATATTTAATTTAGTTTGAATGATTTAAAAGAATAATTTTCTGTGTACGCCAGTGAATGCTTTGATTCATCAGACTTTATTGACCTTTTAACAGATAACGCACATGGACCAGACTCTGAAGCATATTGCCGAGTCGCTCTCCTTTCTGCGGGACCAGAGGGACGTCGGTGGGGGCGAAGGTGGGGACAGGGAGAGGCCTCGGCTCGGGCGGAGCTGTAACGTCCTCCCCAGCCAGGACAGCCTGCCAAGCTACGACCAGCTGTCCTCGTCGCCCTCGTCCCTCTCGTCCAACAACGCAGCCGGCACGGCAGCCAACCCTCGCCTCAGTGCCGCAGCCAGTCAGGACGAGGGCTGCTGATCTCTCTGTCCGTCCGTCTATCCCTCCACCTGTATGTCCACCTGTCTGTCCATCCATCCATCACATTTATCTGAAACGTCTCATGAGACTGTTATACACATGTGAAAGAGAAGAAAGAAATGAAGAGAGTTGATTTTGTTTCATAGCAGTCGTCTGTCTGATAATTATATATATATATATAAATAATTTGTATTACCTTCATCTTTGGGGAGAGGCCTTTAAGTCATTACTTCACTTTAATTTTAATCAAACGCTCTGTTTCTCTTTTTTAATTTGATTTCCCCTTTTTCGTGAATATTTAGAAATATTCTTCTGTAGCAATAAAAGATTGTGGTAATTGTTACCCGGTGTTTATAAGTTGTGTCCGGTGCCTTCAGGGGAAATCTCTGACTCAAACAAATGAGCTGATTATTCCAGTTTCTGTCAGATGGCTCCTTCTTTGTGAAAGTTATATTTTCATATTAATAACTGAATGTTTCTACAGTTTCTTTTTCCTCCTCTGTCATTAGTCGAATAGATTCTTCACCTCTAAAGCTCCAGTCATAGTTTTCTCTGGAGTCATGTATCACTAGTGTTGGCAGCAGACTTTTCTTTATTGTGTTGAGGTGGGGGGGGGCGGCGGAGTCCTCTCTGACTTTTTGAAATGGGACGAAGGACGGCTAATACCGCGGTCTCCACACACGTGACCTTTGGGCAGCAGCTGGTGACCTTCCCCCCCCCCGCCGGCCGTCCGTGGGGTGCCTTTGCATTCCTTCACTCGAGTGGCCGTTTGGAAGAAAAGGCCCAAGTGACCATCTGCCTCTGGTGTCCACAACAATGGACCCCACCCTCCTTAAGTGTGCTGAGGGTGTTTGGCCTTTGTCCCGACCAGGAGTTGGGTGAGGGGAGAGTTTGTTTACGGGGAGGCTGTAAAGTGTTTTTGCCCCCTGGTGATGAGTGTTACTTTGGATGTTGGTAGAGGAAGTCTGTAATTAGTCGTCGAGCCATAAACACTAAATAAATAAATAGCCTTTTTTGAAACCTGAATGAGTTCTTTGGCAAAATATTTACAGTCAAAATAAAAAAAAGGATATTTTCAGCAAAGGCTTCCTGTTAAAAACATTTTATTTGCTTAAATGCACAAATCTAGAAATATGTTAAAGTCAGATTTCACTTTAACTCCTCAAACCTTTATGAGTCTGAAGCTGCCTTCTGCCTTTTGAACTCTGAAGTCTGCAAACTTTCCAGAAATCATTCGGATTGGCTGTAAGTGAGAACGTGAATGTCTGAGTCAGTTTCTATGGAGATTTTCTCGAACCTTTCCTGCAGCCGTCTTCACATTGAGCGAGTGGATGTGTTGTTGATGTTTCTAATATGCGACGGATTCAAAACTGAGGGAAAACAAATATCTCAAGATGACGCAAGACACACAGACAAAGACTTCAACTCAGAAGGACATCGAGATTCAAGAGCTTTTGAAGAATGCTGAAGTTCTCAAATTATTCTCTGTCTGACTCGGACAATATGTGAAAAGCTGAAGACACACGTCTGGGATGGCCTCAGATAAATTATGGTCGGACGTCTTTTCAGCTTTTTCTAATCATCTCCAAAAAGGAGGTTGTTTTCATTGACGTGTTTGTCTCTTAGCGGGTTTACGCTAAAACTGCACAAACAACTTCCATGAAAATTGCTGTAATGATCATTCTGATGGAGAAACAGGAGTTTCTTTTTTGGTTTATGCTTTTCTAGCTCAGACTAAAACCCGTGGAGAAGACGTCACAGTCACAGATACAGTTTCTATCCCTGAGCAGATGTAAAGTGTTTAATTCAGACGAGGATTCATTTCAACACTTTCAGCAGGAGCATCACTCGTGATGTTAATTGTCTCGATCGCAGCAGCGTTCTTGGTGACGGCTTCATTCACTGACGATGATGCACTGAGCTCGTTGGTGTTCATCTCTAAGAGAATAGAGTCAGGCAGTGGGTGGGTACACTGGGAACCCAAGGGACCCTTTGATTATTGATTTCTTGTCCGGTAAACTAAAAATAAACCAGAGACTCACATCATCTGTTCCTAATTTAGAAGTGACACACTTAACATTGTTTGTCCTTGGTACTGGCTCATTTAATAATGCAAATGTGATGTTGGCTCTTTCTTTTACGCTCCTGGGTAAATATGAACACAGACCCCCCCTCCTCCTCGCGGCAGTGACACACACACACACACACACGAGCATTAAACTGGGCACATGTCGGGGATAAAGGCTCTTTCGACTATGAAAAGAGGAAAAGTGAAGACAAGGGAGAAGTTGAGGAAAGACCTGGGGGGTGGTGGAGCTCTAAAGGCTGATTTGCAGGTGAAATGATGGCACACTCTGCTTTGTGGCCATTGTCCTGCACTCCGGCCAGATGGCCTCCTGAAATGCTTCAGAGCTGAAGCACCCCCACACACAGTGGGAGTGCATGTGTGTCCGTGGGGTTCGCTCGCACTAATGGGCTAATTTGGCAGCTACAGCTCATGTTAGGTGGTAAAATTTTAAGGTCGACGGTCGCGTCCCTAGGATTGTGATTATGAAAGAGCTCATAAAACATCTCATAATACATTTCAGATGAGATAAAATAAGGTAAGAGGAGATGAGATGTCCCCTGGACAGTGTCTGCAGTATAAAAACACACAGTATAAAATAATGCAATAACTCTAAAATGTTTTGTCAAACTTATAACTTGAATTGATTTTTCTGTTTTCAGAGGGACACTTTAACATTATTAACATACTCATCTGTGGCTGCCACAAAATCGGCATAAAACCAACGACCTGTTTTCTCACAGGACTGCAGTTATATTGAAAAACATCTTAAAATCTATACACCGATGGTTTTATTTATAAATCTCAGACCAGTATTTTATGGCTTTAAGATGTTTGTCAAACCTGAAAACTCTACTGTAGTGTTCAGCATGTGTATGAAGAACCGGTCTGACAAGAATCGGACTAAAAAGCTTAATCCACGTCAAGATTTCAGCCACAGGCAAATTTTCACAAAGCACCAGAGACCCGCTGCACATAAGAATGGATCATTTCTTATAGTACAAATAAGTTTATTTGGGTTTTTGCAGTTATCTTCTGCAGGAACCTGGAAGGCATTAACTTAACTGGACTATAGATTTGTGAGGCAGCCACTGGAGGACTGAAGAAAACTTTAAGAACCCAGAAAAATGGTAAAGAACGTTCTGCACTTCAAAAAAAATGTTTGGTGCATGGGAATTATCAATTTGTTTTTTATCAACAAGTGAATTCAAGTTAGGATTTATGATGTTTTTGTTTGTAAAATGGAAAAAAAAACTCCCAGAGCAGAAAACGCAACAACGACAAAATAAGAATCAAACAGTTTATTTAAACCGAAATATTTGAAGACGCTTACAAGCTTCTTATGTCTTATTGAGGACAACATAGTGCATTTAAAAAAAATATATCATTAATGGAAGCAGCTCAGCACATTAACATTTATTCACAAACAAGATATTAAATACACAAAAGCAAAAATCCATTCACTTGTTCAAATGTTCCAAACTGACAAACGATGAGGGAAAACTTCCTGATAAGTTAACAAACATAACTTGTGACAAAAATAAAAAATTAAATAAATTAAATAAATAACACAAAATTGTAGAATTTCATGTCAGGGCACACACACACAAAATAAAAATGCAATACATTAAAATGAAATAACATAAAATCCCTTTGGTCCAGTCCAGATGAATGTTCTGCATGTGGAAATATAAATAGTCTTTAAGTTCTTTAGCAGCTCGTTCATCGTATTGTTTTGCACTGAGCTGCGTCGCTGGAGCTTGAGTGGATCTGGATCTTTGTTTCTGTCGTCGTCCTCCTTCTTTTTGCAAAGAAATCTGCAAAGAAAACAAGAAGAAAGAAGTTAGGGTGACTTCATCTTCTCTAAATTGGAGTGTGTTAGAGGATGAAGTAGAATATAAAGACAAGACATTGTGCATTTGTACTTTTTCTACTTGGTCCTCACCTGTAATTCGTGCGTAATTTCTGGGTTTGGCTGCGGGTTTGGAGAGAGACCTCTTCCTCCGGACTGGCGTCACTTCAGCGGGATGTTTGGTGTTGGAGATGCGGGGACAGTTCTCCTGGTCGGTCCCTGTGCTTCCTCTCCTGTCATCACCACCGTCGTCAACCCCATCCCCATCCTCAGTGGCCGGGGCAATGGCAGCCTCCCTCGGCTCCGCGGGCTCCAGGTAGAAAGCAGCAGCGCAGTCTCCGGGTATCTCCTCCCACTGGAACCGGCCGGGCAGCGGCGTCTCCGCCTGGAAGTTGAAATTCCAGCGGCGGCTGTCCTGCTCGCTCATCTCCCGCAGCTTGTGCTTCAGGTCCCGGCGCAGCTGCTCGTGGTCCACAGGGCCGAACAGACTCCGGCACACCGACTCCCTGCGCTTAATGGAGGTCATTGTGCAGATGGTTCCCGGTGGAGCTGGAGAGTCTCTGTGCAGTTTGAATGCGTAAAGCTGCTGTTGCCGTCTCCGTCTCGGCCTCTTGTTCTGGTGCGTAATTTGGCTGCAGGGCGTTTTAAAAGCGGCGGGACGCACGCTGCTGTGTTTGTACACAATGAGCAGAGGACGCTGATTGGCTGCAGCTGTCTGAATTGGAGGTTGGGGGTCATCCATTGTGTGATGAGGACCATTGACACAATAAATAAAAAACTCCCTGTATGGGCTGTTTACTTTAATTCTCTGGAGCTTCTGGAGAATTATTCCTTGTCTTTACAGCCTGGACGTTGATGGAATCAGTGGATGGATACCACTATAAAAGTTTTTCCTTACCGACCATGAGTCTTTAATCAATCTCAAGAGTTGTCATTGTGAGTCCATCCTACTTTTCATTTCATTTCCACTTTGCAACTATGAGTGAGTGAAAAACACTAGTTGCGTTCATTATGTTCCTGTGAAGCCGATGTACGATTCTTCTGCTTAGTGCAATGAATCAAACTGCAGTACTGCAGCTGAGCCTCCAGGGAGCGATGATAAGTGGCCACTACTGGGATTTCTGCCCGCGGGCCAAAGAAGTCTTCTTAAGACCGAGAGTTAAGTGTGTTGGTCTGAACTGGTTCAAATCAGGAGAAGAGGTTTTCTTTAAGTTACAAATAGGTCAAGACCACAGTAATTAAAAAGTCGTTGCTTTAATTGCTTTTCATTCCCATTGGAAGATGAGTTTCCGCAGGTTGGAGTTCTGGTACAAATGTTCTAGTTGTTGCGTTTGCCTTCGAAACTCAAATCACGTTTGTGATTATTGTGATCTGCAATTATTTCTACAAGTAAACATAAGTTGTTTAACTTGGACAGATGAACCAGAGGAAGGTCCTGTCCTCACTCACTTTATCAAACTCTTATAGCTCCCAGTGAAACCACAGTCTGGATTCACACCTTCACACGGTCATCATTTCCCCCAAAATATGAAAAAAAAAATTCCAAACAGTCTGGAAATGTTCCGCTCATCGATGTTTTCAGTTCAGTTGTTTAACTTGGCTCAAGGTGCACAAGATAAAGACAACAGAGACGTCTCCATGACAAACTAAACAAAGACTGATCCTCAACACCCTGATCCCCAAAATGATAGTTATGTCAGAGTTTGCTGCAGGCTGCAACTTTGATTGTGAACTTCCGTTAGGTGAAAATGAAATCTTTCATTTATTTTGTGTTTCATTTTAATTCACTCTGATCTAGGGTGATGATGAAAATCTCACAAGTGCTATTTATACAGATACCAGGATTATTTATATAGACCTTGTAATTGCAGAGATATACTCGCTCGTGTTCGGCATCCATGAGCCTGAGAACGGGAGCCGGGTATAGAGAGATTTAATAATTGTTCCACTTTCCACCATTTTGAGATTTAAATTTATGTTATAAAACTGTCTGATTCTGTATAAACATGTTGGTGTCTTTGTGTCTTTGGCCAGCAGGAGTATTTGGTGCTGATGAGAGGAAAGTGCAGCAGCCGACCGACATGCAAAGTAACGGAGACGAGGCAGCGTCGGGATTGGCCGGAGGGGGTGTCCCACCTTTGACCCACTTCCTCGTGGCCCAGGTAGTTCACCTGAGGGATGGGAAGGAAGACGCACCCTCGGCCCGCACAGGTGTGGTTCAGCGGGAGGAGCCGATCTTTTTCAGACATGCAGGAGAGAAAAGAAATACCTCTGGTGAGTGTTTCACATGTTTAAACAGGTCTATGTGAAAGAATACTACAAATATTGTTTATAATAAGTGTTTAAACTCAAAGCTTTGCATCTACTCTATGTATTTTTCTAATGTATGTGTTGTTTAATGTAACATAGGATTTTATTAATTCTATTCTATGGAGGATATAATTACACAGTTGAAGATTTGGACTTGAAGATGAAGCACAAGTTGTGGGTTTGGTGTTTTTCTTACCTATAAGACAGTAGATACAGTATTTCTTCACAATAATCCTGTCCTGAATGAATATTTATATTCATCAAAACTTTTTATGTATAAATCTTAACTCTGATGTTGCATTATACAAAAAGAAAAAACACCAGGCGAGAAGTAGTTTATTCAATATTGGAGAATCATTGAAGAACCACATCAATCAAAGTTTTTCTATAGGTAAATATATACATTTATTCTGTGTTTATTATCCAGCGATTCATGTTTACAGTTTGCAGATTTACATTCACTCATATAAAGTAGCTGTGTATTGGCTTTCTGCTTTAGTTACACAAATTGCCTCAGACGTCCCAGATCAGCTTCTCGTCTTCATGAGAAAAGAGGAGTTCATCATGAAGCACAGCTCGCCGTCCCTCCCTCTACCTTTGCATGCAAATCGTCCTGTTTGCATACCCAGTCGTCTTTTCTCTCCCCGACCCAGACTTGCAGTCAAATAAAAGCTCCCACAACAAGCTGCTCGCTTACATTAGAACAGATGGCTACACACTAAATGACTCTCAGCGTGTGTGTTAACCACTGCGCCACCGCTCTATTAAAACACTTCTCTTTAGTTCAAGGTGCACGGGGAGTCTGTTGCTTTTTGTCAAAGAAACACACGCTTGTGTTGCACTTTTTTATTTTCATCATCTTTCACCAGCAGCTCAAGTGCCCGATGCAAATGAGGCCGGCAAATGAAAGTCATCGTTTACTCAGGCAAAGGGATAATCTTATTAAAAATGAATGAGTCTCTTCTTCTGAAGTCGGAGTCATGGATTCTTCTGAATAGAATCATTGTGAGAAAGACGGACTGTGGCTAAAACAATGCACAAACCACATTGTGCACACTTGTACAAGAAGGGTTTTATGTGTAAAGGGTCTCGTCGGAGCTAAATCTAAATGTTTCATGCTCTCTCTCCCTCTCTCTCTCTCTCTCTCTATATATATATATATATATACACCTATGTCATCTACTACATATGAGTGACAGCAATTTGTGTTTCAAAGTTCAAGCGTCAGGCAGGAAGCTCTTTGCATATGAGGCGAGGATGAAAATCCTGATAATTTTGCATTGACCACTTCTAAGGACCTTTGCATATGTGATAAGTGAGTTGTTAGTGAGTCACAAAGCGTTTAGAGGAAAAACCTGGACATTATATCTCTGTCTGCATTTGTTTACAAGGGGACGCTGCAGCCGCAGACACGGTGCCTGAGATGCGGGGACGTTCTGGAGTGGTCGGAGGAGCACAGGTCTGTGTGTGTGTGTGTGTGTGTGTGTGTGTGGCGAACCAATGACTCATAAACTAATCTATACAAGACATCCGCCATAGGTCAAAGCTCTTATCTGAATGACAGCGCCATTCAATGTTAAAGGTGAAAAAAAGAATAATAATCAGATCCTCAGAAAAAAGATCAGTCCAGTGATTAACAGACCATAAGAGGCCTCAACTGATTCCAAGTATAGTTTCCCATTTAAATAATTCATGAGAGCGGGACATCGTTCCTGAGCTGTAGAATAAAAAGTTCAATATTAAGAAAAGCAGAGCGCTGCATCCTCGATACAGCAGATTAAACTATAAAGCAATTTAAGTACCTCCAATGAGACTAAATCATACAAATTAGTTATTTTCAAAGAGACAAACACGTGTTTCGATTTTTAATCCATGTCTGCATCTGGATCTACTTCAACATGAGCCGCCCAATTAAGGATGAAAGGGAATATTAAAGTACACTGGAGATTCATTCAGTTATATGTCAAGCAAAAGAAGAATAAAATTACATCTAAACAAAAAAAACTAAAGAATACCAGCGTTTGGGATCATTCCCAATTCTGTGGAGTCAATATTTGTTCTACTGTTGAGGAGGAACTTATCTAACAGGGATTTATTAATGGCTACATGGTGGCGTTTGTCTTTTTCTTCCCTTGATCCACAGCTTTACTGTACCGCTAACGCTGATAGAGCTAATCTCCTGATTGATAACATACAAACAAGCAAACAGAACCAGAACAGTCGCCTCTTTGATGTTACTGCAGGTTAAAACATTAAGATGGTTGTAGGATAGATTATGAATTTGCATGAGGAAATCAATCTTGGATTCAAGAAAAACTTCACCTTCAAGTTCAGGCCGAAGAGCCTCTGGCCTGGAAGATCAACTCGTAAATGATTTAGATTCCAGAAGCAGCACATGCACTTTTGTAGCTGAGGTTTTGTGTAGGGTTGTAGGAGTGTGGGGGGGGGGTTCTCTCATCCGGGATTTTCAGGAGGCCGAGGCTGTGGTGGCCCCGGGTCGATTTGGCCGTTGTGTAGGTGGCCGGAGCTGAGACGACCAGATACGTCACCTGCCTCCAGGTCTCAATCTTCTATGTAACGTGCCTTAAGATAAAGTATATTATGATTTAATACTATACAAATCAAACTGAATTCCATCAACAACATGACTTATCACCCATCCACTTCGGTTTTCAGCTGAAAATTAATTTAGTCGCACTTTAAAAAGTTGAGAGTTGAGTCTTGAGTTTGCGTTGGAAGGTTTCGCAGTAGTTTCTCCACTCCTGGAAAGTGAGAGGACAAGATGTTCCAGGTGAGCAGTTCACCTGAGACTGAGCCTCAGGAGGTGGATCTTTTTTTAACTTTGTGTTTTTGTAGAACTGACTGTATCTCTGTGTCTGTCAGTGTCCTGCTGGGCTGCTCCTGCTGCTCCACGGCGGATGAAACGCTGGAGAAAGTAGCCAGAGGCCTGGCCAGCAAAATGAAAAGGGAGAGGAGTCACTGGGCAGCTGGAAGAGTGGGCGACATCGACTTCACTGGCTCCACTAAGAAAAGAGGAAAGGTGAAGACCAGACTGCATGAGAGACGCTGTGGGTTGTGTAACGTGAGTTTGGAGAATAAACGCCCTGATGCTGCTCAACTCGTTTGTTCAGTTTGTGAGGGTGTCCAGCGACACGGACCCAGTCCTGATCTACCAGATGATGATGGAGGAGTGGGGCCTGGCTCCTCCGCACCTGGTGGTGGCGCTGGTGGGGGGAGACGAGCTGACCCAGATGAAGCCGTGGCTCAGGGACACGCTGAGGAAGGGGCTGGTGAAGGCTGCACAGAGCACAGGTCACATTAACGGGCCCTCCGT